ACGCGTTGCCTTCTACTTTATAGTTCTAATAATAGCCATCGGAGGCTTTCGTTAGGGGACATTGACGCGCTTTCTATATAGCTAAGTCAGACTAGATCTAGTGCAGGATCCATCCTACAAAGCTCCCCACCGACTAGTAGCTACGCCCACTATATTGCACAACAAACAGCAACATAAGAAGGTAATAAATAGTCAAGACCACAAGTCAGGCCGCTCTTTTCAGAAATAGCACTTATAGCCTACTAACTTATGATTTTTCCAGACTGCTATTTAGCGTAATATCCATGCCTTGCCTTCTTACCGACCTCTCGAGCTTGATTATTAGTAAGGCTCTTAAGGATAAAGTATTCAGCGGAAAGTATAGCTCGGCTCTCGAGATGCTATCGGTACTAAATCTACAAGGACAACATCTTATACCACTACTATAGGATAAATCCATACTAGAACGCCCTATATTCGAGATATCGCCCCAAAGTACTATTAAATATAGCAGCATACTCTGCTCGTGCTAGGCTACCGAAGAATGGATCGCCCCTACTCCTTACGCGTAGGCGCGGCTAGACGAGTAGATAGTAAGACATGCAACGCCCTACAATGACCACTAAGAAGGTCAAGCTGAACATATTCAGGATCCTTAATATCCGTAATACGTAATCATATTATCTCGAATACGGAGGCTATATTCCGAAAGAGCTATTAGCTAGTTCATACTAAAGAGAACCTAGCTACTATCGCCTTTTCTACTATTGCGGGAGACAACGAGCTTCTTTTCGAAACTCTTCGATAGTCCCTACTCACACGTAATGATAATGCGCCTATAGACCTATATCTAGAGGATTACGCAAAGTAGGATCAGCGGAGGGATATACAAGAGCTCGACAAGCGACTTACCGAGATCCCACGTACAACGGCAGCTAACAAAGAGAACGCATAGAGGATTGCATCTCGGCGTGGCTATATTGTGGCGACACTATCAAAACTCCAAGTCATGCGACGTCGTAAGGAATACTTTCTTAAGGCCGATAAGTTAAGGGGCTAGGGACGTTCAATAGAGCACCTCGTCAGTAAAACGACGCGACCGAAAGCCGGACGCTATACTATTAGTTTAGCAGCCGCAACGATTATCAGCCGCTATATAGTCCGATATTCGGGAATCGATATACTAGCTACGATAAAATACATTAACCTCCTTATCGCTTTCCTATCTAATAGATTCTCGGAGGTCGAGCACCTCGAAAGCACTACGACGATAATACCCACGAGTCATAGCATCGATAAAGAGGCAGATAAGCAGCTTTTCTTGCAGCTACCGACGATTAAGGCGCCATTGCTAGTGGAGAAAGGACATATAGGAGTCAACATAGCTACTGAATATCGGTGTCTATTCGGTTATAAACCTGTAACGCCCCAGCCCGGTCGTCACCAGGACACCAGGCAGGACACCCCGCAGGCGATCGGACGCGCCGCACGGACCCACAGGATCACTCACGTGACCGTGACCAGATCACGATTCTCAAAGTGATCCGGTCACTAACCACACCGTGACCCAAGCAACAGGATCACGACAAGAAAGGTGAGCCATCCAACATGGACTCACCAACCCAACACGACAAGGACAGAATGACAGGTATATAAGGACGGGCATTCGGTACTTGTAGATACATTCTTTCTCACGACAGTGATCAATCTAAGTCTTACCTTGTATTCATTGTAACGAGTGCGCAACGCCTTACGACACCACATCGTCTCAGAGTCACAACCTAAGCTTCTGCTAACAGCAACCCTAACCCTCTGACAGTGTTCCCCCTTCGGAAGCTGCCAGGTCGTAACAAAACCACTAAGCAGCAGATTTGCTCTAAATAGATACGTAGTAAGCATTTATAGAGATACATTTTCAATACCGTTCTACTATCCCGAATACTTATCGTAAGATAAGAAAGAAATCATTATTAATAGGCTATCCGAATAGATTATCTATACTACGAGATACCACGGGAAACGCAGCGCACTATATTACCCTTAGAATTCGTCGCTAGCTAGCTTAGGGCGATCTCGCCGCATCAGATCATCCCAAAAGGCGGAATACAAGCTTTGTCAGGGACAGTTCGCTGCCGGCAATAGGTATTCAAGGCATATAAACTCGGCGCACCTACATTAAGGCCTCTTCGATAAGCCTTTTCCCTGCCCGGAATGCAAAATCGCGGGGGTAGAAGCTTAGATCGAAGGGATTAAGTACTAGCGCGAGCACACTTAGGAAGTACATAGTTACAAGGGCTAGACGGGGCATAGGAAGTCTAATAAAGAATTTAAGGCAGCTAGGCTAGGCGGGGTAGATATAGGGAAGAAGAGGCTACGGGTATAGTCCCAATGCTGCTATTGTACAAGATACTATCTATAGTGCCTTTTTGCTAGATTTAGAATCGAACCATATACGGGCGCTTATAAGCCGAACACGAAGTAGGGTCCCGTGCTTGACTCCCCTTACGCAAAATGACTTCTAGTAACAGGCAATAAGGTCCGCCCTCTATATATATATATAATATATAATACAAAGTGGGATATCTGCGAAAGAAGTAACAATTTTCGTACGACGAATAAGCCGCCCTATAAAGTTACGGTCGCGTTCGCTTTAACAATATATCAGAACGCTAGCAGATAACGCCGCTCCCCCTAAAGCCGTACGACCTAGAGGAGATCCGCAAAAGTCGGAAGCGTACAGCCACTAAGTTTTCCAAGCGCCGCAAGACGTTCTTGCGCAGGGCGCATAATCTATCGCAAGATTGTTAGGCCAAGGTATACACCTTCATCGAATACAATCGTCGCATATAGGTCTTTACGAGCAAGCCGGATCAAGCGTCATTTCCGCCTATAAAGGATGAGATTATGAGCCGAGATGCTTCCGAAACAGGCTATACCTGACTAACTGCTCATAGCTTCGAATCTACCCGCTTCCGGAGATATTCATACCTAGCATGTTCTCCACCTTACCTCAGGTTCACAACGATAAGCATAACGTAGTAGATCCCGCGCTATTAGATAGGTTTAATACTTACGCCGCTAATCAATGAACACTAAGCAATCGTAGGGATTATAGACGAATACCGCCAATCGTTCGACAGAGGCAGTTTATATAGCGGGCTAGGCAATCGAGTAAGGACCAGACCGATAAGTCCATCGGATTACGGAACTACGGTGTAGGAGGCACGCGACAAGAGGAACAAGAGAACTCGCGCATAGCAAGAAACCCCCCTCATATCGCCGCTACCGATAACTATGCGAGGGTCGGATTGACCGGTCTTTCATAGCGGGCGCGGTGCTAGAGGATCTGCCTTACCGCTCGTTCAAGATAGGGCTAGGCTCTCCGTTCTTATTTAATACCTATTACTTCGAGTTTCGAGCTCCAATTAGTGCTACCACAAATAAGCTAGCGTCGGGGCCGCTCTATATATCGGCTTCCGATATCCTCTAAAGGCTCGTAATTATATAATAGTTATTATTAGAACCTAAGATTATAGGATATTTTATCTACATCATAGAGTATATCTCGGGAATAAAGATTTTCAACTTCGGCTATAAGCTCTATAGCACGTAGATAGCTCTAACATAAATATATATTTACCGACATTATGCTTATTCGTAGTTAAGTCTTCATAAGGCCCTCTGAAACTCCTCGTAGACTGGTTCTAGCATTCAGAGAAGGCTACCTTCAGCGTTAGTAGGAGTACTACACTTATGCCCCTAAACAGCACCACCCGATACGCTAGGGGCCTACCGTCGTTCTCTCTTACTCGTGAGTCGATAAGGATAGTAACATAGTGGCCACGACTAGCTAAGGGACAAAGTGAGGGAGCGTGGCTAACTCATCGCAGAAATCTATCTATAAATACAGAGGTTTTCCCTTCCGCTTTATACATTTCATCATCCTCTCAACATAGCTCCTCCTTCCACTCACTCTATGCAACGACCAGAATACACACTATGAGCCTTTGGAGCACTTTACACTCTCTAGGCGAGAGGCCTGCAGTCCCAAATCCAATAACTACCGCAACAGTTAAACAGGCTATACAACTATATATCGGATCCGCCAAGGCTGCTTCCGTTCGGTCTCCAGACAACCCCGACCATAACCATCGTTCAGTCGGTCAAGCGGTCTTATTCGCCGAGGAAGCGGTGTAAACGGCGACTAGTCCAAAAGTCAGCAGCCTGACCCCCGATATAGCAGCCCCTACCGCTCTACCATATAGCCTACTTAAAATCGGCAAGATAGTAGCCACTCTCAGTAACGCATCTCCATAAACTGATCTTTTAGCTCATCACAAACTAAAGAAAGCACGTAAGTAATGCCCCATGAAGCCTCACAACGCAGCGATAAAGAAGGGTCTATAGTAACAAGTTTTCCCCACTAGCGTTATCGCGGTCGAAGCCGGGCTCTACACGATCCCGTCCTATAAAGCGAGCTAGAGAATCATCGATCGAACCATAGCCGCAGAGGAAAAAAGCCCCGAAGGCTATCAAGCTTGACAGATCCATAGTTTATAACGTGGAAAATCTCACAAACTTTACTTTCAGAAACGGCACCATATATTGCAAGGCTAAATAGGCTCCCACAGAAGTCCAGCTTTATAATATAGTTAGAGACGAAGTAATAGCGATTTATAAACGAGAAATCATATCGCGATTCGGGGCTAACGTATAGGCGAAGCAGAAAGCTACTTATTTTAACCAGAGACCAGAAATCCAAGATATAAACGATCGGATCACGTCCTAATTAGGTAAGGTAGATAGGTTTTAATAGTACACTTGTTTTGGATTATATATATAGGCTTATTTACGCACACTCTTCCTCTATTCTAGGTTGTCACAAGATCTCCGACTCGTCGGTTTCTCACTAGCGCGTTCCCTACGCGAACTCTATTCTCGCTTATCTTTATCATATCTATGTACCTTACAGGCGTATCCCCGCAATTTACCATCAGTCGGAAATCCTCGCCTCGGTTCTACTAAAACCCAGCCGGACTACCGAGTATCTATATAGAGTTCGTATCCAGCATACTCACTTAGAAGCTAGTAACGCCACCGGGATCCGGGGCAGCGCTCGTTATCCGTAGTGTTAATCTAGAGTTAATGCTAGATAACCAGTCGCAGGGGTAGCACAACACACTCCGGCCGTCCACCAATTTTAGCTCGTCAAGTTATAACACTTCCAAAGCAGGGTAGCGCTACATGAAACGTACCAACGCGAGGACTCCTACATACATGTTAGCAAGAGATACGGAGCGAAGCTTAGGGCAGGGCACGCGATCGAGAGGAATGAGAGTAGGCGGATCGCAGCGGCTAAAGTTAACGTAGAGATTTTATAAAGCGGGAAACGAAGACAGAAAGACATTAAATATTATTACAGTAGTATTTGCCATACTCAATGATCTAATGTCGAGCCTAGTCACCGAACGCAGCGCCGCGTACAGAGGGCCGATAGACTCAAGCCTCAGTTCGCCTTCAATCTTGAGATCCTGGATACGGGCGTAGTTAGGAAGTATTATCAAAAAGTCACCGACTAGACGATCGACTGAGCCTCTCCGGCCCGGAAATAGCCAGATCTGTTGGCACAGTCGGGTGAGTTGGGCGTTTTTCTTCGGTTTCCGCGCATGGGAACAGGCATGGGAGATTGTGATCTGCTCGAGCTGTGGCAGAGAACTCAAAATCTGGTTCAGTCGACGGATGTCTCCATGGCGACTTCTAGACCCCTCGACCGCTACGAAGTGACGATAGTGTCGGAAGGCCTGCAAAGCATTTTCCTTCTTCGACGGAGACTGCGACACAAAAGGGTGCGCCTCGTACACCTGGAGCGGGTGAAGCTGCCACTCTTTGTAGTCGCACTCCGGCCACTCGCCGTGATACACCGTGAGAGCTCGTGTGAGCGGAGTTGTTTGTTTGATGTGGTGTGTCAGGCCCGACAGTGCCGAAAGGGTGTTGAGTACGCAGAGGTGACGCGACGCCTCGGACAAGCAGGCATGGTTGAAGTGACTGGAAGTCAGTGCCAAATTGAGAAGGCTTCGTGAGTCTAGATACGAGACGAACTCGTGGATGATCTCATAGGGCATCCTTTCCATGGTAAAGGTGGGTGAACGCAGGCTGGCCCAATGCAGCGAACCCGCAGGCGCACAGTAGCGTAGATATGGCCGTTGTTGTTCTTCTCCTGTTGAGGCTCATCCCGGATAGTCGCAATCCTGAACAAAGCATGGTATGAATCTGCATTCTGAGTTTCTCATGGACTGTAGTGGGAACCTGTCCGAATTTATTGTCGACTACCTAGGCAGGCAC